TGGGCTTACTGCATCGGAGTGCTATCCAAAAATTCTGCTATATATTTTCATGGACTGAAAATGGGCATCCAGATTTAGAAGGCTGTCGGACAATTTTTATATCAATTCATGGACTGACGAATGGGCATCCGGGATCGGACGGCTATCTGAACGATTTGATGTATATTTTTATGGAATGACGAATGGGCTTACTGCATCGGACGGCTATCCAAAAGACCTGCTATATCTTTTCATGGACTGAAGAATGGGCATCCAGCATCGGACGGCTAGCCGAAAGATCCGTTGTGTTTTTTCAGGGTTGTCGAATGACCATCCGGCATCGAACGGCTATCCAAAAGATCTGCTGTATGTTTTCATCAACTGACAAACGAGCATCCGGCATCGGAAGCCTCTCCGAAAGGTCTGCTGTATTTTTTTAATGTGCTGATGAGTAGGTATCTAAGGTCGGACGGCTATTTGAATTGTTTCGTGTATCTTTTCATAGATTGACGAATGGGCTTACTGCGTCGGAAGGCTATCCAAAAGATCTGATATATCGTTTCATGAATTGAAGAATGGGCATCCAGCATCAGACGGCTATCGGAAGATGTTCTGTATCTTTTCATCGATCGACGAAAGAGCATCCGTCATCAAATGGCTATCCGAAAGATCTGCTCTATTTTTTTCACGGATTGACGAGTGGGCATCCGGGATTGGACAGCTATCTGAAAGGTTCGATGTATATTTTCATGGACTGACGGCTATCCAAAAGATATGCTATAACTTTTCGTGGACTGAAAAGTGCGCATCCAGCATCGGACGGTTACCAAAAGATGTGCTGCATCTTTTCATCGACTGACAAATGAGCATCTGGCATGGGAAGGCTATCCGAAAGATCTGCTGTGTTTATTTCATGGACTGGCGAATGGGCGACCGGAATTGGACGGATATCTGGAAAATCGACTGATAAATGGGGATATCGCATCGAACGAAGACCGAAAGAAGTACTGTATCTTTTCATCGACTGACGAATGAGCACAGCTATCCGAATGACGGCTATCCGAATGAAATATGACGGCTATCCATATGATCTGTTGTATTTTTTTCGTGGGCTGACGAGCGGACAACCAGGATCGGACAGCTATCTGAACGATTTCTTGTATCTTTTCATAGATTGGCAAATGGGCTTACTGCATCGGAGAGCTATCCAAAGAGTCTGCTAAATTTTTTCATGGACTGAAAATGGGCATCCAGAATTAGACGGCTATCAGACGATGTTTTGTATCTTATCATGAACTGAGGAGTGGGCATCCGGGATCGGACGGCTATCTGAAAGCTTTGATGTATCTTTTCATGGAATGACGATTGGGCTTACTGCATCGGACGGCTATCCATAAGACCTGCTATATCTTTTCATGGACTGAAGAATGGGCATCCAGCATCGGACGGCTAGCCGAAAGATCTGCTGTGTCTTTAAATGTTGTCGAATGGGCATCCGGCATCGAAAGGTTATCCAAAAAGTTTGCTGTATGTTTTCATCAACTGACAAATGAGCATCCGGTATCGGACGCCTATTCGAAAGTTCTGCTGTATTTTTTTAAGGACTGACGAGTGGGCATCCGGGATCGGAAGGCTATTTGAAAGATCTGCTGTATTTTTCATGGACCGATGAATGTGCATCCTGCATTAGATGGCTATCTGAAAGCTTTGATGTATCTTTTCATGGAATGACGAATGGGCTTACTGCATCGGACGGCTATCCATAAGACCTGCTATATCTTTTCATGGACTGAAGAATGGGCATCCAGCATTGGACGGCTAGCCAAAAGATCTGCTGTGTCTTTCAATGTTGTCGAATGGGCATCCGGCATCGAAAGGTTATCCAAAAGGTCTGCTGTATGTTTTCATCAACTGACAAATGAGCATCCGGTATCGGACACCTATCCGAAAGATCTGCTGTATTTATTATGGACTGACGAGTGGGCATCCGGGATCGGAAGGCTATTTGAAAGATCTGCTGTATTTTTCATGGACCGATGAATGTGCATCCTGCATTAGACGGCTATCTGAAAGATTTGATGTATCTTTTCATAGACTGACGAATGGGTATCCGACATCGAACGGCCTCTTTTCTCCCCCATCACTCCCACGTAAGCGCCCCCTGTTGAATGGGTTTTCCTTTATTCTAATTTCAGATATCCGTTTTTGGCTGACATACCTTAAAATTCTTTAAAAGACACCTTCGGGGTCTTGTTTTAATAACTCTTCGGGAGAAGCGCCCGCAGAAAAATTGCGATTTTTTGGTGAAAATTTTCCAACAGAAGCCTAAAAACGCCTGTTTTGGCCTAATTTTTCAAAACTTTGCTAGCGCTGCCAAATTTTTTTGCCAAATAGCGTCTGTTTAGTGGTTTATGAGAGCTGGAAAATCCAATTTGGTCCACCTAAAAAAATCTGGATGAAAATTTATGAAATTTGTTTGAAGTACCCACCCCCTTCTCCTCGAGAAAATTCTAAATCCGCCCTTGGTCTTGGGCTTAGAGTTTTGGTCAATTTGACTAATTGTCATAACGTTTTCTAACCAAACCCAAGCCAGGTTGTTTTTCATACAATGATGCCTTTACTTCAATTCCTTCCTGGCTTCTGAAACCTTCTCTGTAAAGAATTATTTGATATCTTTAGTCAATGTCGGTTTTATTCTTCTGGGTTTAAGGTCGAAGTCTCAGCCACTGCATCATACAGCTCTTTTTGGTCTATATGTGCATGTTTCTTCTACAGAAGTATCATAGCAGCAAACAGCTTTAATCAATACTGCGCCTCCTAGAGTTTTCGTTTTTCTTTTGATTCGCTTTCGTTTTGAGGGATTTTTACAGGTGATTTTTTGTCACGGGGTTGCGTCAGTAAAATATTGCGTTGAAACGAAAAGCAGCCATCATACAGTTGGATAAAAGTCAATGAACGCAAGTAAACAGGAAAAAAACCGAACTTTTTTTTGGAAAATCTCAATTTTCGAACTTCAACAAAAAAGAAAGATGCTTAAAGATCTTTGAATTCCTAGAAAAAATTTTTATCGGCCCTTTTTCGATAGAATTTACCTTACTTGAGAAAATTGGATCATGCGTTTTTTTTTGGTTAGGAAATCTGAAAATTAAATTCCACTTTCAAAACTATACGTCGATCAAGTTTTTTGTGATCTTTACAATTTTGCTGTTCGATAGTGGAGTTTAAATTCAAATTAAGAAGGAAATGAACGAACTTCGGTAGAAACCAAAAGTCAATCCGCAAAAAAGTGAATATGTCTGAATGAGTCTCAACAACTTTTAAGAATATTCCTGAAAAGAAGAAACAAAGTTTATCTCGATCTATATACGAGTCTGAACTACGTTCAGTGACTCTTAGTAAATGTTGTCGAATCGATTGTCATCATATCTCATAGTTGTTGCAAATTTAGACCATGAAACTTAATGAATTATGGTAATTACGCACTAAAGCTTACGATCTCAATCCATTTAAAAGCCTTTTTTTACTATTATCGTCCTGTAAACGTGGGGAGATACGAGGGGAATAGGCGTGGAGGTATGTTGTATGCAAGAGAGGGAAAGGGTTGAAGTAGTTTTTGTTAAAGAAGGTAGTTATGCTCAGCAAAAACTGAGAAACAAAAAAACGCAAGATAAAACACTGAGAAACAATAGCAGTTCTCGGAGTTAAAGTAAATCTCACATTATCCAATGCAACTTGTTTAAAATGAAACTTTCTTTGAAAATTTCATATTAACTTTTTTAAAAGGATCAAAATCCATTTTAATCGACTGCTCGTATCAGGGTGAAACCCTGAATGCTCTGAATGTCTTCTAAGTTCTATCATTAAGTTCTTTTCCATGTACAACCCTATTTTTAATCAATCAACTGTCATTTCGACCGTTTTTTAACAAAACAAAAAGTTGACAACAAGCGATCAAAAAGTTGCAGTTGAACTTTTTGCCTAAAAGTCAGGAACCAATATCAGACGAATGGTAAATCAATTTTCTTTTCTTATCATGGTACACTTAATAAAATGGGTTCTACTTTTTGACAGTTAGGTTAGGTCAGTGTTTTTGGCATGAAATTGTCATTTTAACACATCGTAGAAATATAATACTTATGCTCTTATTCTTGGGATATTTATTTATCGACTTTGAACTGATAAACTATAATTGAAACTATAACATCAGGAGCAGATCTAGGATTTTCAACAGTTTTCTTTAATGAGGGAGAGTTTCCATTTACAACCCTATTTTTAATCAATCAACTGTCATTTCGACCGTTTTTTAACAAAACAAAAAGTTGACAACAAGCGATCAAAAAGTTGCAGTTTAACTTTTTGCCTAAAAGTCAGGAACCAATATCAGACGAATGGTAAATCAATTTTCTTTTCTTATCATGGTACACTTAATAAAATGGGTTCTACTTTTTGACAGTTAGGTTAGGTCAGTGTTTTTTGGCATGAAATTGTCATTTTAACACATCGTAGAAATATAATACTTATGCTCTTATTCTTGGGATATTTATTTATCGACTTTGAACTGATAAACTATAATTGAAACTATAACATCAGGAGCAGATCTAGGATTACAACAGTTTTCTTTAATAATTTTTTAATGACCTTTTCTTGGGCGTGAAAATTTTTGAAAAAAAAAATAGGACAAAAATGCCGTTTTTGAGCACTTTTTAGAAGGTTTTGACCCGAAAAATTGCATTTTTGGGTCGCACGCTCCCCTTCAATATTAGTGCAAATTGGAGCCGAAGACTCTTTTTTGAAAAAAAATTAAGAGTCAGACGGCCGAGAATGGCTGTTGTAAAATAAGTACCAATGAAGGACATTTTGGGTAGTGAAGGGATCCAATTCCTGATGGGGAGGGGGTCAGCTCTCCCTCTTCCTGAATCCACTCATATATAATATAATTAATATATAAACAAAACTGATTTCGACCCTCAAAAAATTTGGAGAGCATCAATTTTACTCTGATTTAATCTGCTGAATCATGTTCAAAATAATTCTGAGCTTTCTAGACTCATAGGGCATGTGTCTTTCATAACTTTCTTGAGTAGACTGTTCTTGTGTGGTGTGAGTGCCTGTTTGACACCGAGGTATGATTGCATGTAGTGGAACATGGTGCAGTTCTCCCCCCTCCACTGCTGCATCAGTGTCTCCGACTCTGTCTGGTTCTCCCCATTCAGGGGACTGTATTTTTTGCAGCACAGAGACCCAGTCTCAAACCCTATTTATGCACAGAAAAGTCAGCTTTTAAATAATAAAAGATAGCCAATCTTTGGAACAATTGTTTTAAGTGTCCAGAAGATATCGAAAAAAAGGATTGGTTGTTCGAAAAATATCAACTTCCGAATTTCAAGGAAAAATCATCACGCAAAATACCGTAATTGGTACTAAAGACAGTTGTTCATTAATTGGTTAAATCATTTATACTTAACTATCCACTATATAACTAACTAAATTTTTAAGCTATAACTTTGTCAAGAACATTGACGAATTAAGGTGAGACTTATCATTAAGGATAGATTACTAAGCAATCAACCACCAATGAACGCTTAGTAAAGTGCCCCTTAACAAAAGTCTTTTTATCTCACGCACAACTCAGTTCACTGCCTACCCATACGAAGCGCCCATGGATCATAATCGGTTATTTTGTCATTATATGGTCAGTATCTATAAAGTTACAAAAAATTGTTCATAACCGAATTTTGTCAATATTATACATTATAATCGATTATGATAAAGCAAGTAAGTCCATTTATCCACGAAGAAAGGGAATAACTTCTCAATGGACTTTTTTGAGAAGTTATTCATCATGAATTATACAACTTCCGAATTTCAAGGAAAAATTATCACGCAAAATACCGTGTTATGGAGCAGTACCCGTATTAGTACTTTTATTGGCCTCTATTGATGCCTAAGTACTAGCTGTTGTGAGTTCTACTTGGTTGGTGCTGTAGTATTGCAAATACTACCCGGAGATAAAAGTCTTTTCGAACCAACCCGCAGCAGATTTATGCCAGCATTTGTTGGTAGCTTTATGTAGCCTTTTAAATTCATGGTACCATAGTCTTTTAAGCAACGCAAATTATTGTTGGTGGCTGTATGCAGCTTTTGAGACTCTTATGATTCGCTCCTCAAATGTTGGCAAAATATCAATTTGGTAGTTTGAAATCCACAACACGCAGGCATTTAAACCCTTAATTAAAACAATTTTCCGACGAAGCAACACATTGAAAATTGAACGGCATAATTATAATGATTGTTTACATAAACTTTTACATCCCTAAAATCAGATGAACATTTTCTTAACCAAAACTGTGAACATGGATCGGTTCAGGGGATTAAAACCGAAGAGAAATTAATCCACTTATCTTTTTGAATTTTATACAGCTTGTAATTTGTCTTTAATTTTCCTTTTCTTCGATATTTCATTTTGATTTGATTCTAATTCAAATTTTTTCTATTTCTTATCAAAAAATGAAACAAAAATTGCTGGTTATGACAAAAATTAATTACAAAATTTATTTATTCTTTTCTTACAACTTTTACAATTTTCTATTCGTTCATATTTGCATCTGGTAAAAATCAACTTAAAGTGTATGGCTGTATGATTTGTTAATTATATAACAATCAGGATGAAACTGGGAGGTAAAATTTATTTCTCCATTTTTCATCCTGGCGGGTTTGCAAGCAACACAAAAAATACTAAGGTTTGATGTTAATAAGAAACAAAAATCAACCATACTTAGCTTGTGTATGCAACAAGTTTTTCGCATAATCATCTTCTGTCTGTAATAAGCAGAAAACAGAATTGTGACAGGATGTTTGACAACAAAGTTTGAGTCGGTTATGAACTGTAAAAACTCTCAGTTTAAGTACACAAATTCACAATCAGAAGAGGAAGAAGCTAGCATGTTGTCCCTGCAGTTTTGACCAGCAAAACCCAATCAATCAATTTGGAATATAATTGCAACCTGGAGTCGATGATGATGAATACTACGAAAATCAGTGACAAAAAGGATGAAGGAAAAACTCTAAAAACAATTGAAAGGAAACGCATGATTCAAACTATTTCACTTTGTTTTTTAAAGATTTGATTTCATCATTTGATGTGAGTTGTAGTATTGCAAATACAACACGGAGATAAAAGTATATTGTTCTATTTAAAGTCTTTTAAATACTTGTCCGATTTGTTTTCATTCTTTCCTTTTAGTATACTCAAGGTTTTTCCACAGACTATTTTGTCGGATATCATAGAAAAAGTTTGTCGCCATAAAGGCTGACCGGTTAAAATGTTCTGCTTTGAAAAGCAGACATTAAAGCGATAAACACCCGGTCTTTGGAGCCTTAGTAAGACACAAAAAAATAAAACATCTGCAAAATTAGAGACGGAATGAATAACGGTTTTTTAATATCAAAAACTTGAAAGACGAGACTATTGAAAACTTTCCAAACACCTGGAAGATGAAAGATATACGATGAAACAAAGTCTATGAAGATTAGAATTAGACAAAGGTACTTTGAAGCATTCTTGCATTAAGATTGGACATGTCTAAAATCTTCTTAATTTTTTATTCCACTCTCATTTCAGCTCGATCAGTCGAGTTAACATTTTCCGGAATAATTTTATTTCTTTCTTTGTTTTCTTTTTATTTTATAAACTTATTAAAGTACGATCTTAAAATTATTTTTTTAACTTCCCAAAAACATGCAGCAGCACGGATCTAAACAAACTGATGACCCAATACTCTGAGAAGCATTAGGTGGACAAAATAATCAGAAATCTAGGCGCGGACTACAGTCAAACTAAGTGTTAGTTTAAATGTAAAAAACTAGATTTTGACCTCATCCTCATTGGTACTAAAGACAGTTGTTCATTAATTGGTTAAATCATTTGTACTTAACTATCCACTATATAAAATTATACTTTTTTCTAACTAAATTTTTAAGCTAAAACTTTGTCAAGAACATTGACGAATTAAGGTGAGACTTATCATTTAGGATAGATTACTAAGCAATCAACCAGCAATGAACGCTTAGTAAAGTGCCCCTTAACAAAAGTCTTTTTATCTCACGCACAACTCAGTTCACTGCCTACCCACACGAAGCGCCCATGGATCACAATCGGTTATTTTGTCATTATATGGTCAGTATCTATAAAATTACAAAAAATTGTTCATAACCGATTTTTGTCAATATAATACATTATAATCGATTATAATAAAGCAAGTAAGTCCTTTATCCACGAAGAAAAGGAAGAACTTCTCAATGGACTTTTTTGAGAAGTTATTCATCATGAATTATACAACTTTTCTTAAATTATCTCATTTTATATTTATTAAGTTGCTATGTCTTACACTTCATAAATTGTTGCATTTCACATTAGAAACTTGAGTTTTTTTTACTCTACTTTTTCAATTCATTGCAGTTTAACACTTTATTTCACTGTTTTTTAACCAAAAACGCCACCTGCAGGGGGATGATATTTGAACGGGTGTAGGGGAAATTTTAGTGGTAGAATTGAGAGGTTGAGTGGTTGAACCTACCACTCTCTCTCTCTCTCTCTCCCTCTCTCTCTCTCTCTCTCCCTCTCTCTCTCTCTCTCTCTCTCTCCTCTCTCTCTCTCTCTCTCTCTTGCATCCCCAGTTCGCAAAATTTCTGCAAAATTTTATAAAAGTAATCGAATTTAGTTCCAAAAAAAACTGGATTATAGTCAATCAAAATTGATTATCATGGATTTTCTGTCAAAAATAATCATTTATAATGGCTGATACCGGCAAAATAATCGATTTCCGTGCCAAAAATAATGGATTATGATAGCATAAACAATAAGTATCTTCACGTACCGTACACTTTGAAACTGCTGCAGTTCAGCACGTGACGTCGAACAGTATGCGTGTCAAGAGCCAGTCTTTTTCTCTCCTTGAGACATGTCTTTTCTATCAGGCCTCCGAATACTCCGAACACTGTGTCGTACTGTCGGAACATGTATTGCTCCTGGGATATATTCATGGCTACCCATAACAGAGGGTGCCCAGGTCTAGACGATCCAATGACTGAATTTGCTTTAAAAAAATGCACAGAGACTATAGCGAGTTTACATTGAATTTGTTAAGCACTAAAGCATCGAAGCAGACGAGTGAAGCTTTGCTTGATGCTAATTTTTGCATTGGAATCTTTCAAACATTGTCTTCCATTACTAGTTCTTATACTATTTTTTGGCTTTTGGACTTCAAGCTAGGACAAAAGCATCTATCTAACTGGTTTCACATGCTTTCGCTTTCATAGTACCTATAAAGTTTCATAAGAACTAGTGAATTGAGGAGAACGAAAGGCACGAGCTCACGTTCTGGAGTTCGTACCTTCAAACCCACTGTTACCTATAGATATTAGATTGTTAAATGAGGCATAGCGCGTCAAAAACAAGAGAAATTCGTCAATTCAGAAGATCACTGTCCAGTTACCATCAAGTCAATCATTGGTACTTACTTATAGCTCCCCCATCGGCCCTGGATACATAAAAGGGGGCGGGGTCGATCCTGCCTCTGGCGAGGATGTCGGTGTCCATGTAGATGCCCCCGTACTTGTACAGGAGGGCCATGCGCAGGAAGTCACTCAAGTGCACGGCATAGTTATCCCTGCACAGTTAAAAACGATAACAACTAACTTTTTTTAAATGAAGAAATAAGAAATGCTTGTTGAAACATGTAACATTACGCGTGGAAACTTTTTGGAAAAGTTTTTTCGCTATCAAGGAAAATATTAAAATTAAAAAACATATTCCGAAATGTATTCAGAGGTTCAGATGCTCAGAAAATCTTCAGTGGTTATCAATGGTTATTTCGTGCCTACTTATGGCTATTTAATACCAAGAAAAATATAAGTTTTTTTATGCCGGGCTATATGCTTTTTTTTTGAAATACGATAAGCTCTAAGAACAATAATAACGCAACTTATTCATAAGTTAATTCAATACCTTCAAAAATGTCTACTATTAAGTCCGAGGCAAATCTTTAAAAAAATTCTTTTCAAAAGAAGTAAAACGGCGAGCTCACCATTCAAAGAGTGGACCATATCTGTATGTGTAGTTTGCCACTGGGGTGTTCCGCAGGATATCTTCTGGTACCAGTTTCTGAAACCGAACATTTTCAAACTTTGCTCGCAGTTTTCTTGTCAGCTCATCACTGGAGCTGTTCTTCTCGTCATAGCCCGCGATCAGAACCCTAGATTATATAATTGATTGAAGTTTCTAGAAATGAAAACGAAAAATATATATCGGTTAAATTTAAAACTATTCAGAAAATGACTATTAATTTTGTCTACAATTGGGTTATGTCGGAAAAAACGCTAATTTATCTGAGGTCGGTTACAGAATTCATTATTTTCTTAAATTTCTCAAGGATTCGCATTGGAGATAAAACTTGTACTGTCTAATAAAAATAGGTAAGTCTTTGTTGCTACCTAATTTTCATCATTGAGGACCACACCTCGTTGAGGCGGAATTTTCATTACGTGATTGTTTTGAGTTTGGAAGAAGGCTAAGGAATATTTATGCTTGCAGTGGTTTTTTTAATTCATGATAATTTTGGCAATCGAAATCACAGTCTTCGACAAAACTTTATGCCACAATGAAGATATCGACGGTTTATTGTTTAACTAAGCTATGGCTATCTTACAAGAGGTCACGTTCGAAAATGCAGCGCATCATATGATTGCTGACACCATCAATACCGATGCGCCACAACGCCAATGTTGCAAAAGTGTGTTCAACCGAAAGGGCTGTTTTCGAACTCAGATTTTGGGCTGAACAACATCCGTAGGTTGAGCTCTGTTCCACATACCTCCCCCCATGTTTGAATTTTAGTTTTGAAAACCTATTTTTATGTTGTCATAATGGAATGAAATTTTGGCTCTTTTCCTTTCCCCCCACCTCACGTAAGCATCAATGTTTTGACGTAACGAGGGGTTTTAAAAGGTTAGATGCGAGGACAACCAAATATGATTGTAATAGCCTAATTAGCCCGCATGCCAAAATTTTGTAACATTCTGACAATCAGAACAGATAAATTACTGGTGAAAATTCGTTGTTGGGTGGAAGAAGAAGAAGCCAAAATATTGCGTGGTGAACAAACTAACTATTGTGAACAGATTTTTTCTTCAAATCTTACACCGTAGTAAGCTATTCAAATATTGGTTTCTTATTTCTTACTAATTTTTACTGTGTTTTCATGCAGAATAATTACAAAATAATCCATTATACTTCATTTCTCTCATGAAACAATATTTTGATAGAAAAAGGTATTAAAATCTATTATGATAGATTATAATAGATTATAAGAGATTATAAAAGATTATGAAAGATTAAAAGAGATTTTCAGAAATCGGCTATGTTTTTTTATGTTGTCACCAAAAATGTTGTCACTCAGTAAAGAGAGAAAATAATTGTTTATAATGGATTTTTATCGTCAGTCTCCATAAATTTCAAAAAAGAGAGAATAATCGATTAAAAATGGATTATATTGCTACTATTTTTTGAAGCAAAAAAAAATATAATCGATTATAATCGATTACTTATTGAAAAATTATTTCTGAAAACTTTTTGAATTACAATCCATTTGTAACCTTACCAACTGGCGAGCACATTTTTTCAGGAAATCGACCCCGTGCATACCCGAAGAGCTCCCCCTCTGTTTTATTTTGAGATATCCATGTTTGGTGACGCACCCTTTGACCTTTGGCGCCAATAAAAACTAAATTTGAGGGGGAGCGCGTGCCAATAAACGCGATTTTTTGGTTACATTTTTCCAAAAATGACCAAAAAAGCCAATTTTGGCCAGTTTCTTCAACAATTCGCCTGCGGCGCACAAAGTTTGGCCAAAACAGGGTCCTTTAACTGCTCTGGGAGAGCTTGGAAAATCTATTTGGTCGACCTAAAAAAAGGTCGATAAAATATGTGGAATTTTTTTGAAAATCCGCCTCCACCCTTCGAGAAAATCTCATATTCGCCACTGGTTTACTGATTTCTTACTCTTTAGTAATTTTTACTGTGTTTTCATGCAGAATATTTAAATTATAATCCATTATACTTCGTTTTTCTCGTGAAACAATATTTTGATAGAAAAAGGTATTATAATCTATTATAATAGATTATAATAGATTATAAGAGATTATAAAAGATTATGAGAGATTATAAGAGATTTTCAGAAATTGGTTATATGTTTTTATGTTGTCACCAAAAATGTTATCATTAGAATGGATTATAAATCGTTTAAAGATCTAAGACTGGCGTTTATAATTAAATATGTTTTTCCTAAAAGTACGATCATAGTTATAATACAATCAATTATTTTTTCTTTTTACTGAGTGGGGGCTAGGTTTAAACTGGTTCCAATTAATGTTGTCTGAAAAAGTTTTGGTTCTTGTTAGTTTTTGGTAAACTTGTTGATGAAAAAATTTCAAACCATGATACTGAAAGTTTTTTTTTTGTTCGGTTTCTTGAATATTGAGTTTGAGGCCAAATGCGTTTGCCTTTCTTGTTCTGAAAACTCTTTAGAATTGAAATTTAGACATTAGAAATTGTCTTTGATGCTGATTGAAGAAATGATATTTTTTCTAACAAGGACATGATGCTATTATAGTTTGTGGGTCAAATGTAAGTATATTGACGAAATGCCATCATTTACATTCTTTTGTTTCGGAGGCTTTGTTGTTATGTGCACTGCTTGTTCGGGTGGTCAGGGGTTAGGTACCTATCTAATCACTAGTAGATGAGTGTCGTCTAAAATTAATTTGAGAACTTGATCAAAGTAACTTTGGATTTGCTTTTAAAGTGTTTCAGTGCTGTCTGTATTTAATGTAGTAATTATTCAAAATTGATTTTCATTTTTTTTTTTTGCGTGTCTGAAAAGTATAACTTTGTTTTTTGTCATATGGCCTGGGTCCTTCGATTTGCGATATCTGCATCATGTATTTGATATATAAAAAATGCATTGATCTTCTCATTAATTTTGTTTTGTTTCAGGAAATTCAAACCTCATGTACTGGCTACTGGATAAAATTATTTTTGCAGGATATTTGCTATAAAGTGTAACTGCCTTCTGTTCCTCTGAGTATTTGGTATTTTTCGAAGGCTGGGTTATTTTCACTACTTATCGAGTCGTTGCTTATTCTTTCCAATATTGCAAAAAGTGTTTCTGAGATAATTGCGAGAGCTAGAGATTGGCTTAAACAGCACATTTTCTGCGTGTGTATCCTGTTAACAATGAAAGTTTTCTAATTGTTCCGACTTTCGTAACAAAAGTAACGGAATATTTGTGCTCGGGATCGTTTTTTTAGACAAATTTTGACTTTTTAACTAGCCATTTTTGACGAGATTTTTAAAATATCATTTAGAAAGTATTGTTGTCGTGAGCTTAAATTTCAAATGTATTTTACCTGTGATATTTTTTTGCAAAGTTATATGGGCTTAAAGATTGCCATTTAGGCCAATTTGGGACAAGTAACGTAAGATATTATTCGCGCTATTAACGCGTAAGCTGAGTTTTAAATCGTCCTAGAAAACGCTCGAAATTGGTTGAAAGAAGCTTATTTGACATAATTGATTTGTTACAAGGAGCAAACTTATCCGTTTATACTTTTTATGGCGTCTGGGGAATTGATTTCCACAAACACCTCAAATTTTTCTCTTTTCCTTTTTTTTTACATTGAATTTTTTCATGTAATTACTAGTGCGCAGACCCTAAAAGGCAGTCGGAACATTCGGGACTTTGCCTTGATATGAGCAATCTTGTTTCGACTTTCATAACGAAATTAACGGAATATTTGTGCTGCGTTCGATTTTTAATTGTGCTGCGTTAGACAAATTTTGATTTTTAATTAGATTTTTTTTTGATTTTTTTAAATCATTGCTTTCCTTTGCTTAAATTTGAAAAGATATTTCACTTGTGATTGTTTTTTGAAAAAAAATGGGGGTTCAAAGATTGCCATTTTGGCCAATTTGGGACAATTAACGCGCGATTTATTTCGCGCTATTAACGTGTGAGCGGAGATTTAATCCGGCTTAGAAATTGTTCCAAATTGGTTAAAGGAAGCTGCTTATTTACCATAATTTTTTGGTTTTGTTTTTAGCGAAATCTATCACTTTGTACTTTGTTTGGCGTGTGGGGGGGGGGGGGGTGATTATCGCAAAAAATCTAAAACTTTTTTTCTAATTTTTTTTTTCAAGTTATTACTGCTCCATAGACCTTAAAAGACAGTCGGAACATTCAGGGCTTCGCCCTAATACGAGTGTGTTTTTTAAAATTATTCTCGCTTGTAAACACCTGGAAAGCACTAAATAATAGTTTAATGGTGATTTCTCCTGTAATGGTATTATAAAGAAACTCTAAATTTTAACATTAGGTTGTAAAATAACCTCACTTCAAAAGACATCATTAAAAATATTATATCAACCGGCGGCCGTTGTTTGGTGTGTTTTATATTTTTTTTATTATTGGAAAAATCAATTCTTATCTTCAACTTACATTGCAGTAGAAAACAGCCGATACAATAGTTTTTCTACGCTCGTGAAAATGCGAAGCATTCAAATTTTGAAAGATTTTGATTTGCATCGTTTCTATCCAAGTTAAATTTTTGCAGTTATTGTTTTGCAGATTAAAATGGTCCGGACGAAACTAAAAAAGTTTGAAAGTTTGGGTTAAGAATAGACAAAAAAATGGGTTAAGAATAGACAAAAAAAGAAGAAAACAAAAATTGGTTATAGTTTCACCGGAGTTAATATGGTTAATTTTTTTTTCGCAACCAAATTTTAGTAGTTAGGCTATCTCAAAAATAGGTTGTTTTGGCTTTTTGCGTCTTTTCATTCATTGTAATTCTTAAAATTGTAAATTGCAGATAATGGTAATTCTTAAAATACCAAAACAGAAAAGCAAATGCTCTAAATTGATGGATTGAATTGGGGAGGGTTCTCATGCTTGAAGGCCCGAATGCTTGAAAAATTTCAACCAATCAAAATCGCTAAGCATTTCTATTGGCTAAATGCCTGTCTCACAAAATCGAAGTCAATATTAACAGAAAATGTATTAAATCAGTGGAAAATAATCAAAAATATTACAAATTGCTGGTTACAACCCCAAAACAACTCAGATAATCATCAAGATTAATGAGGCCAAATCATAATGATTCTTCAAAACTCATCTGCTTATTATCTAATCGGTCAATATTATCACTAATGGCCTGGATTTATTTTCTTACTTTGAGATTTTCGCGATTTATTTTGAAATTTTGAATACTCAATTCTGATTGGCTGAAAGTAAGCTAAAATTAATTTCAAGCATTCGGTCCTTCAAGCATGAGGGACGCCACCTATTGAATTGAACTACAACTGCAGTGCGTAGTCCAAGCAGCTCATGAAGCTAGCAAATGATGCGCTTTTAAGCTATTTAAGCGGAATAAGTACTTTGAAGCGAAATAAGTAAAAACCCGCCTTTTATTTCATCAGTAACTAAAACTATGCCGCGTCTTGTTGTTCCAAGTTTTGAAGGGTTTGCCTTGTTGGGGGTTCCTTTTTTATTTAGATCTATTTTACAAAAATCCGAAATCATTCCAAAATCGTTCCAAATTGAATTGATTGAGGCAAGTTAATTATTCCTATTAATTCCATTCACTATATTATCAGCCTAAGAATCATTTTGCTAATATTTATTTAACCAAAAGCTATTCCAGACCAACTAAAGGGCAGTCGGAACAATGACTGTTTGCCCTGATACGAAGAGTCTTGTTAGCTATATGGACTCTTTTTCCTTTTCTCCTTTTTAACAAGTAATTTTTGTATTCATATTGTCTGATTGTTACAAAACTTGGCATGTGGACTAAATACCACATGCCAAATTTTGTAACAATCAGACAATATGAACACAAAAATTACTTATTAAAAAGAAAAAAAGCCTAAAAAGCATATTTATAAAATCTCTACTTAACTTTGTAAAACCCTTCGTTACACCATAAAATTGATGCTTATGTGAGGTCCTATAAAAGAAGAACTGAAAATTTAAGCATGCACGATTTTTGTACCATGTATCGAAATGACCCCCCCCCCCTTCGCAAAAAGGGAGGTATAGCTAACAAGATCTAAGCTAATTTTATCAAAAGGAGCCTCTTACACAGCTCAACAAAGTTTTAGAAGGATAAAAATTGAACTGCGCAAAACATTTGAACTGTGCTTTGAGAATTGGTTGTTTATACTTCATCTATCCGTAAATTTTTTGAATTGTTTTGATAGAACCAGGCTGCTAAAGAGATCCCGCATTGGAGTTCCATAAATTAAAATCTAGTATAATTGAGTTTCCTTGTCAGTGTCCACAAACTTGAAAACAAATCGATTATAATTAATTAGAAATGGATTATAATATTACTATTGTTCGAGGCAACAAAATCCTTTTTTCATCCATTATAATCAATTTTTTTTCTTTTTCGTGGACACTTACAATGAAACTATGTTATAATCTATTTTTTCCACTTTACTGAGATGCGAATTTCAACGCACATAAAGTCTTTTCTACGTTTTAAATTAAAGTTGGTTACGTTGGTTACTTGTTGTTCAATAGAATTTTTTTCTATCTAATTTTGATATTTTTGTTACTTTTTTATATTACTCAACATTACCCCCCTAGCATTTGCCCATTTAGAACAAACCCCCCTCTCCCCCCAACTTAATGTGTTCAGGTGGGGAGTGGATTCAGGTGTGGGGGGGTTCGGTTGGGGGAGGTGGTGGGTTCACGTGGGTGGGGGGTATGTGGTTTCAGGTGGGGGAGGGGGGTGGTATGTGGGTTTAGGTGGGGGAGGGGGGGTATGTGGGTTCAGGTGGGGGGGGGGGTATGTGGGTTCAGGTGGGAGGGGGGGGTATGTGGGTTTAGGTGGGGGGGAGTTATTCAGGCGGGGGTGTTCAGGTGGGGAGGGGGTTGTTCAGGTGGGGGGTTCAGTGGGGGGGTTCACTGGGGGAGGGGAGTAAAGGGACAAAGGTTAGGGGGATTGAAGGGGAGCAAAGGGGCAAACGTTGGGGGGGGGAGCTCAACGGACTTAGTGTACGGCCAGGCTGTACACTCGCTTTGCAAAGTTTCCGCATCAATCACTTGATAAAAGCTGAAATTCTTGCAAAATTTTGCACTACGCGCGAAACAAAGGTTGTAAGGTCCCAAAGTGGAGCTTAGCTGAACCTTTTTGCAAATTGAGTTTAGGTTTAGAAATGGATTAGGCCGTACTTTCGCTTTGCAAAGTTTCCGCATAACTCATATGATAAGTGCAGAAATTCTTGCAAAAGTTTGCACGACGCGAAACAAAAATAAAATGGATAAAAATCCATTTTACGGTGATTTTCTACTTGTTATATAATCAATTATAATGGACTTCAAATGAGTTTATGCATGTTATTTTTGCGAGAAAAATGAATTTAAATCCATTTTCAGTCCAATTTTGGTTTCTGAGCGTAACATGGAAATCGATTATGCTTACAACAATTTAGACCACAAAAATCCCTTATAATCGATTTGTTTTCACTTTTCTTAATTGCGGGATAATCAATTTCAAGACGCTTTCTAAAATAAATTTTTTTAAAAGAGACTTATTTGAAATGCTTTTAAAATGATATCCACTAAGAGCTTCCATACATAATAATCAGTTATACTGGTTATACTGAGTTTTAATTGGTTTTTAAAAAACTCTTATCATTTTGAATGGATTTTAAGTGAATTATAAGCGGTTGTAAGGTCCCAAAGTGTGAACTTAATCGATTATTATGGCAACATTCTAGAGCACAAAAAACTATTATAATCGATTAATAATCACAGAAATTAAGTGCGGGTACTCTCTTTTAAAACATTTTTGAAAAGAGACTTACTTGAAAACGCTGTTGATATGAGACTCACTTATAAATTGTTTTTAAATGAGACTCACTTAAAAATTGTTTTTAAAATGAGACTCACTAAAGGCGACGGAGTGATTTTTTGGAGGTATGGTCCAAAAAATTGTTTAAAAGTAGTTTCGAAGTTTTGCCAGTGAATTGATATTTTTGATGATTCCATTTTAAAATGAAGACAAGACTGCTCGTATCAGGGCGAAGCCCTGAAGGTTCCGACTGCCTTTTAAGGTTTATTGAGCAACAGTAATACATAAAAAAAAATTAATGAAATAAAATAAAATGTTTTTTTTTAATTTGAAAATTTTTATGAAAATCATCCCCCCACACGCCATATAAAGTACAAAAAGATAGATTTCGTTCCTTGTAACAAATCAATTATGGCAAATAAACTTCGTTCAACCAATTTTTATAAGACGGATTAAATCTCCGCTTACGCGTTAATAGCGCGAATTATATCGCGCGTTAATTGTCCCAAATTGGTCAAAATGGCCAAAATGGCAATCTTTTAACCCTCATAACTTTGCGAAAAATGATCACAGGTAAAATATCTTTTCAAATTTAAGTTCAGGACAACAGTGGCTTTCGAATGATATTAAAAAATTCCGTCAAAAATGGCTAGTTAAAAAGTCGAAATTTGTCTGAAGAAAAAAAAACCCACCCCGAGCACAAATATTCCGTTACTTTCGTATCGAAAGTCGGAACAATAAGTGGTAAATCTAACGAAGAAATGTTCATAAAATTTTCTTTTGTTTTCATACACTTGATGTTCTCAATGTATTTTTTAAAATGTTTTGTGAGCCAGACTTTTTCAATGGGACTCATCAAAAACGGTGAGGCCATACTTCTAAACGAGTACCCGATTTAAAGTTTTCTGGTGGCACCTGTCAAAATATAACTTTTAAAAATCTACTCTGTTTAGTGATATTTACCTTATGCAATAGTCAGGCATGGCCCTTGCGACGCTTTCGGCGGCACACAGAAGTCTCGGCCTGGCTATTGCCACCTTAGTTTCTAGAATCCAAACAGATCGGTTCAACTGGGCCTTTAAGTTGTCGCAAACTGCTGGCAAATTTAGTCCAAACATTGAAATTACCCGACATGAAAAAGAGTTGTAGATAATTAGGAGTACTTGCAACACAATAAAAACGATGAAAAAATATTTTTCATAAACCATTTTTATATAACGTTTTTAAAAAAAAAAATTGGAAGTCACAAACTTATAGGCACTCTGTTAGTGCAAAAAGTTGTTATTGCACTGCTTCGAAAGCCAGCAATCGAAAATATGTGCTTTGAAGCAATTCTGTTTTTTTTGCCTTCCAGTCCAAACTTTTTCACATGGCGCTTTTAGCGCCGAAACACGCTAAAATTAAGGAAAAGCTTGCTAAAAAAGACAGTTTTTTGGTCAAAACTTTCCAAAAAATGATTAAAAACATTATTTTGGTCAGAAACTTTTAGTGTATTGCTGGAACTAGAGATACTAGATCCACGCCTGATTGATTAACCTTGGTCAAAAGCCCCTTTTTGTCCAGGTTTTGCGAACAAAAGTGGGAATTTTCAAATTTTCGCAACAAACGTCGCGTCCTTCAGCTTGGACTTGTTGCCACATTTTGGGACCGTTGCAACCAATTTTTGTCCTTTTCAGCGAATGGGATCCAAACCAAAGATGCTCTACTGGCTCGACCCAAAATTCATGATTATATTTTGCTAAGCTAAAAAAAACAGAATAACTCGATTGTTTTTGGAGCAATATTACGATTGGCACAGATTTCTTCCTCTTTATTTAGTCGACAGATTTCCTCCCATAGCCAATATCTTCTCATCGCATACCCAAGTTTGTGGAAGATATCTGTTTACGTTTTGAAATGGGAAGAGCTCTGTTGAAAATAAAATGGGTCGAGATCTGTCTGGGAAGAAATCTGTCACAGCCAATATTACAAATGGTGCCAACTTTGAGAACTTTAAATAATGGCATGTCTTAAACTTGAGACATTTCATGCGTAATATAAACATTTCGTTTTCAATCATTTTTACATATTGTTTTGATAGACTTGTTAGTGCAGCATTATAACAGATAGAATTTTTTCAATTTTAAAAAGTAACGCTTCTTTCACAAATCCTTTGGCTTTGAATGAAAAAGTATAACTATTTGAAGGTTAACAAGGAGTGATCTAGATTTTTAATGTATCATATCAGCTCTTGTTTCAATGTTGTTTGTTTGATTTTTTGGGCATGCTAAAAGAACTTAAAAGCAAAACTAATTGTATCAATTGTTCTCGACATCAAAATAATTTTCAGTAGATGGCACATCTCTAGTGTTTTTGGAATGTGAGTCTTGCAAGAATCATACCAAGAAATGCAAGTCTTATATGAGTTTTTAAGAGTCACGCCAAAATTGCATTACCTTAAACACAAAAGAATTTCGCAGATAATTTATAATTTATGCATCTCATGCAAATTTGTAATATTTCAAACTTTGTATTTTTTGCCAAAATTGTTTATTAGGGTTAAAGAAAGGTGAAAATTATTCAAATTTATTCTTAATGTTCTAAACAATTGAGAAGTATCTTGAAACTATCTGTTTTGAAAAACTTTCAGATTTATCTCTATAACTCTACAAAGTATGGTTTTGCATACAATCTAGCAACAAGTTTTATAAATTTCTTTGCTTTATGAGAAACATTTGCCATCAACCTCCGCACTGAGATTTTGCTGAATATCTGCTACAAACTAGCAAAACAATTTAAAGACCTGGAACATTCCATAAACAACAAATATAATAGAAAAAAGGTATTAGAATTTGTTTTTTTTTGTATCAAGTGTTTTTTTTTAATCTTGGAGCTCGGATTTGTCGCCACAATTTAGGACCAATGCTAGCAAATTTTATCGTTTTCAGCCAATGCGATCCAACCCAAAGATGCTCAACTGGCTTTACCCGAAATTCATTGTTGCTCAGAGTGCGTTTGTTTGACTCTGGTCTCCAGCAACTCGCCCGTATGTTTTTCCGGTAACCTCGACACGCATTGGCAATGTTACGCAAAATAAAAAATGTAATCAATTTTTCTTTTCAATTTTGGTTCCTAAATTTTTAAATAAAATTATTAAAGTATAATTTATTTGAAATAAAGTATATTATTTTTTTTATTAAGTAAAATTCTATTATAAAGTCAGTTGTTAATTTCGGGGCTGTAAACTAGATGGGAAAGATGAGCATATCGTAATACAATCAATATATGTTGAATTTCATAATTGTTGTTTCGAGTTTTCAGAGCATTTGATTATAATGTACTAGGCTGAAAAAACACAATATTTGAATGTATTATCGGAGCAATTTTACGATTGGAACAGATTTCTTCCTATTTTTTAGTTGACAGATTTTGTCCCATACAGACTTCGTCCCATACATATTTCGTCTCATTTCCAAAATCCTCTCATCCCATTTCCAAGTTTGTGGGACAAAATTCATGGAACAAAAATGGGAGTTTTCAAATTTTCAGAACAAACGTCGCGTCGTGGAGCTTGGACTTGTTGCCACACTTTGGGACCAACGCAAGCAATTTTTATCATTTTCAGCCAATGCGATCCAACCCAAAGATGGTCAACTGGCTCGACCCGAGACTCATTGTTGCTCAGAGTGCGTTCGTTTGTCTGGTCTCCAGCAACTCGCCTGAATTTTTTTTTCGGTAAACTCGACACGCATTGGCGATGATTCGCAAAATAAAAAACATAATCGATTTTTCATTTCAATTTTAGTTTTTTTAAACTTTACAAAGTTTTTAAACTATAATTCGTTTGTATGAAATTATATTAAAAAAATTTTGAACTAAAGATTTATAATAAAGCCGGTTGTTGATTTTGTGGCTGTGTACTAGATGAGCAAGATAAGCATATCTTAATACCAATCAATATATGTTGCTTCAAACTAGCAGAATAATTCAAAAACCTAGAGCAATCCATAAACAACAAACATAATAATAAAAATGGTATTAGAATTTGGTTTTTTGTATCAAGTGACATTCGATTGATCAAATGAAGACGTTGTCTTTGTAATAGTTTTTCTATGTTACTTGTTTTTGATTGAGGTTGTTTATTTAATTTGAATGATTCGCAGTTATTGAAAGTGTTTTATTCAGATTGGATGTTTCTCGAGGTGTTTTTAAATTCTCCAAAATATTATCCAGCACATCTACCCACTATCAAGAAAAAACGGTTTTAAAATTTTGATTTTCGTTTAATTTCGAGCGAGTAAAGCGAGCGAACAGCCTTTCAGCAAATTTTCAATGCTTAATTTAAGCCGTAAAGCTTAATTTTACTAGAGTTTGTTTCTCTGTGTCTTTCAGCGTCATTTCAAAGTTTCAAAAGGCTTCTTCAAAAAAAAGTTTTGAACGTTTTTTTTGTTGTTTTTAAAGAAGTTTTTCGAGTCAATTTTGTAAAGAAACCATACTGCAATATGCTTTTTTCTACTATGATTGTCGAATGTTGAATAAATTTTTGTTTGTCGTTAGTTATTTTAAACACACCACGCAGAAAAAACGGCACTAAATCGCAAAAAATTAAATTATTGTTTTTAAAATTATGGCCGGAAAATTTTGTGCAACTTGCACAGTAAACGACTGTCCTTGTTTTCCCGTCTTTTGTAACGTAAAAAACGAATTTTTGTGGTCGGGTGGTGTGTGGTTTTTTTATTCAGACAAATATCGACTTTTTAACAGGATTTTTTAACCTCATTCAAAAGGTATTGCTGACCCGAGATTAAATTTAAAAAAGATACTTCACCTGTGCTCGTTTTTTGTAAAGTTATGAAGGTTTAAAGATTGCCATTTTTGCCAGTTTGGAAAATTAACGCGCGATATATTTTGCTCTTTTAACGTGCAAGCGGATATTTAAATCGTCTTAGAGATCAGATCATTCCAATTTGGTTGAAGGAAGTTGATTTACCATAACTGATTTGTTACTAGGAGCGAAAATTATCACTTTGTTCTTTATGAGGCGTTATTAATGCTGTGCTCTTTTCATGTTATTTTTTTCATGTTATTACTGCTCCATAGACCTTAAAAAGCAGTCGGAACATTCTTCATTGCTTCGCCCTGATACTAGCATTCTTGTTTATGTTTGCGTTTCAATTTGACTGCTATTTTTTATTTGTTTCATTCGAGAGCTGCGTGGTTTCATCACTTAAATCGTTTACTTTTTGTTTGCTTGCTTCTGAGTCAATCATTTCCAACCATTTGCTCCTTACTTTGTTCGTTGAACTCAATATCAATTTTGTAAAGAACCCTTTAATGTGGTTTCTTTGAGTGCTGTTTTAAGCTGTTTTAAGCTATCAGTTTCTGCACTTGAGTTGTTTTCTTCTCAATATGCAAGGTCGGTTCCTGTAAAACTTGTTTATTGTCGTTTCTGATGTTTCCCCATTAGATATGGGTTAATTGTCATTTATAAAGGGCCTTTGTAGAAGAAGATTTGTTTGTTCTTATTAGCTACTCTAAAAAATGAACATGTAATTTTACGAAAAAAATTACGTAATTTCACATGTTCGTCGTTTTATATTTTGATAGAAAAAGGTATTATAATCTATTATAAAAGATTATAATAGATTGTAAGAGATTATAAAAGTTTATGAGAGATTATAAGAGATTTTCGGAAAAGTTATAATCAATTAAAAATTTTGAATTTGCTTTTAGAGTGTTTCAGTGCTGTCTGTATTTATTGTAGTAAACTATTCAAATATTTGTTTCTTACTTCTTACTAACTTTTACTGTGTTTTCATGCAGAATAATTAAAAAATAATCCATTATACTTCATTTTTCTCATGAAACAATATTTTGATAGAAAAAGGTATTATAATCTATTATAATAGATTATAATAGATTATAAGAGATTATAAAAAATTATGAGAGATTATAAGAGATTTTCAGAAATTGGCTATATTTTTTTTTATGTTGTCACCAAAAATGTTATCATTAGAATGGATTATAAATCGTTTAAAGATCTAAGACTGGCGTTTATAATTAAATATGTTTTTCCTAAAAGTACGATCATAAATATAATACAATCAATTATTTTCTCTTTTTACTGAGTGGGGGCTAG